CTACTATTGTGCAACTTATTGAACCCTTAGTTCGTGTGTTACAAATTGTTGATAATGATGAAAAGCCTTCAATAGGCTACTTGTATGAAGCTATTCATGTGGCAAAATATGAAATGGAACGTAGATTTCAATGAAAAAAGACTAGAATTTCTCCTTATCTACAAATTATTCAGAATCGATGGGATAGTCAGTTGAGTAAGAATTTTCATGCTGATGGATATTGGTTAAACCCTTATTTTCAATATAATAATCCAGATATGAAAAATGTGAAACAAAATATTTCGAGACATTTAGATGTCTTCTGATATTAGTACATTTTATGATTTTAGTGGAATATCTAATACTCATATACTTGAGCTTGTGGCTCCACGAGGTATTTTTGTCTTAATCTTATTTTCTTTTTCTACCTTTGGTTTTCTCAAGGTGGTTTAATGTGATACTTCTCCCACCACATGAATACAAATGGACTTTCAAGGAAGGTGATGTTGATGTCCTTTTATCGCCTAAGCCTGGATCAAGTCTGTATATAACGTTAAATAATTTGCCTTTTTGATATCTGTATCTGATTCATCAATTGGAAAACCTTATGTTCCGAATCTTGCCTTGATTATTGTGATGCAGTCAATTTTAAGAGGAACTGTTCGTCAGCACTTTAAGATGAGGATAGTCCTGAAGTTAATGGTCGTGTTGCTGGCACAGTGAGGCGGCATATTCCTAACATCCTGGGACAATCCTTCATTTTTATGTTGGGGATTCATATGATTCCAACAGGTGAGTCATAACACTGACCCACTGCATTGTCCGAGTTAGTGTCTGGGTCGGGTCTAACAACCATGACTAAAACTGTCAGTACTAAAGTGTTTGTGACACTGTGCTTATGTAATTTGGATTAATAGCAAAAATAAATTGGAGAATTTTTTTATTTGATTAGTGAGATTTTGAATAAGTCAAATCTCGTCACGAGATATGTAATGACCCAAAATTTTAAAGGTTTTCGAATCGCTACAAAAAAAAATTTCTCTTAAAAAGATTTTTAACATGACAAATATATATTTAATATCCTCAATATATTATTTCTATTGTGGAGCACTAATCTCAAATAGATAAAATTTTATTATTTTATTTAAACTCCTATTTCGAGCAGGATAGAATAGTTCAACTTCACGGCATAACTAAACAATACAGAGGCACAGGCACATGATGGGTCTCCCACTGTTAATTCAATTTTGTACCAAGTCAGATAATTTAATATTTAATAATTTACAGGTTGGCAGACAAATTGAGGTGACGTTTGCTCTAAATTTACTATTGGTCAAATCCAGCCAACATTGACAAAATCAAATGACAAGGATCTACTAGACAATTAAATGAAAAAAAAATAAAAATTTCAAGTTACTGTACGAAATTACATGTCAAATAAATATGTCCTAAATATCAAATAAAATGAACTACCATAACAATCATATATGTTTGGTTAGATCAATTAAAATAAATCTGCAGTTTAAAATTTTAGTACATAATGTTGAAACATGCATAATAATTATCCCTTGACTTTATTTGATAAGTCATTCCATGAACAGTAACTACAACTACAATTCTCTTTAATTAATTTAAATATTTTATTGTATATAATAGATGATAAATTATATGTTGGCTCCACTGACGTGAAATAAAACATACAAAAATG